CTCGTGACGACGGTACCACATGCCGATGAGGTAGAAGGCACCAGGGAACATGCCCGTCTCAAAGACGCCGAGGAAGAAGCGAGTCGTGATGAGGCCGGCGTAGTTCTGGACGAAGCCCTGAAGGAGGGTCACGAGCCCGAATCCGAACATGTTGATGCTGAGCCAGACATGAGGTCGGAACTTTTTCAGCAGAATATTGGAAGGAATCTCGAGCAGGATGTAGGGCACGAAGAATACGACTAGCGCATTGTTGTAGAGGTTGCCGTCGAGTTCTAGCTCTTCCGCCAGACCAAAGACTTTGGCATTGGCAATGTTGACGCGGTCTGCGCGCGCGATTCGGTCAGTCCAGGGAGCTTCACAGAGCGACGCGTTAAGACATACCGAGGAACGCGAGCAGATACATGACGCAGAGGAAAGGCAGGACGTGAAGGTCGATTTTGGTTAGGAGCTTGCGCTCAGTCGTGTGGGCCGGACACTGGACACTGGCGTCGGCGATGCGCGCCGGCGAGGGCTGCTCGGGATCGAAGCCATTGCCGGCCTTGAGGGAGCCGGCGATTGACTCTTCACGATCATCGTGCCGATGCTGCGTTCGTGGTTCTTCCTGCATCGTGACGTGTCGGGAAACAAACAAGGCGTCTCCGTATTGACCAGATGTGGTGGAGAGGAGTCAACGCGACAAATAGACACGCCGTGCCTGTCTCACGTCTTTCGGTTTGTCTTCCTATCTCTCAAGGTCTCACATCTGCCCTCAAGGTAGTGTCAGGGTGGCGATGGCTCCTCTTTATCTTTTCCGCCTGCACAAAATGCTTGAGCGCATCCCCTCCCCTCTCCCCTCTCCCCTCTCGACCGTTGACGGCTGCCGCTTGACTCACTACTTGACCGGCGTGAGCGCGCCGAAGTCGGTTCGCTTGGGACCAAAGGAAAATGTGACGATCATCGTCGTCCCACATGGTGACACGAGGTGGCAGGGGGGGAAAAGATCGTCGTCCGTTCGGGACCAACCCCGCGTTTTGGCCTTGTGTCTTCGCCGTCACTGGACGGAGAGCAAAGGCTCTAGATCTGCCGGATTTCCAGCCGCCGACGCCGCCTGATGAAATGGTGCAGAGGCACGGCCTAAACTTGCTCGCCTCGCCTGGCTTCTAGCCGCAGTGGGGAGGCGTGATGTGACATGCTGGTGGACGGCGTTGATGTGGTGGAGATCACTGCGGCCTCCCGCGCGATTTCCTCCGGATTTTCACGAGAGCGCTGCATCCATCCTTGAGACTACGAGGGCTGGCACCTCCGAGAAGGGAAGGTCATGCAGGGCGTGGGATACGCTTCAACAAGACTTGAAATGCGACGCTATAAATCAGGTGTTTGGCGAACGGCGAACGGCGAACGGCGGGGGGCCATGAGGGTAGACTTGCATGTCCATCTCAACTTGCCTACGTCGAGTGACGTATCTGCTGGCAGTTGGTACGAAATTGTTGAGGAGAAACGCTTGCGATTCTGGGGAGAGACCTGAGCTCCCTCCAGATGCTATACGTTGATTATACCTAAGGTAAATAGGGCTGCAAACCGCCAAGCAATGGTCAAAACCCCCATGGTTTGCCTGCTGATGCCGATGCCGCTACTACGACCACTACCACTGCACAGTCTCCCGCGAGATGGGCGATTACCACTAGAGGCCCTGGAAGAACATGGGACAGTATTGCTCGTGCTATTGCCAGAACGCAATCAGGGCCGCCTGTAAGCGGGTTTACCGAGGTGATTGAGGCTCAGATCTCAATCCCATGATCCAGACGTAAGAATATTGATACACAGGTGAAAATATAGACTTCAAGACCGAGAATATCGTCGAGATGACTGGCGCCAAGTCTTTGGGCGCCCAATTGTGCCCCTCGTCAGGAGCCAGATCCCTGAAAAGAGGCGCCAAACTCTTGGATAGTTGGGGAGCCGCATGCGGAACTCTACCGCTGGCGGACTTCCATAGCGGAATCTTTCTGCTGTTTGTGGCATCCGAGCGGCCGAAGGTTCGGTTGGCAACCATCGCAGCACAGCAACCCAGAGGGCTGAGAGCTGGAGTGGTGATCCTTGGCAAGGATTTCCGCCAGGTGGATTAGCCTTGGAACGCCCTACATGCCGCCCCCGCGAGGGGTTCCCCGCAGATGGCCATGCCTAGTCGTCTCTAATCTTTGCCTCGGCTTGATTTGCGAGCATGAGGGTTGATTTGCTGTTTGACTTTGTGCCGTCTGCAGCCTCTACTAAGATGACTACCCACCATCAATGGCTTGAGCTCAGATCTTGGTCATCGTGGCGGTCAACGTTACGCCGCTTCGTCCGAGCAAAACATACACACGTCAATTTCAGTCGAGGATTTGTCAGGCTCAGAAATAGCAATCTTTCGCTCAAGAAGACTCCTATCCGGGCCATCTTTGACTGCATCGTCATTGGACGCATGCTTTCTCACGTTTTGATAAAACCCAAACACACCAGCCAGAGCCGCCGTCCATGTCCTGTTCGCTTCTGGACATCCACCGACCGATGTTCAAGGTTGACTCCTACCGCCATTATCCTGCGCAAGATTGTCGGTGCTCCTTCCAGTCTTCATCTCCTGCCTCCAGCACCTCCGCTCCTGAGTCGCGACGCCAGGCCCCTGGTACACACCTCCGTACGTGCTCGTCGGCCAGCTAGCTCCGTCTCTGGCAAGCTGCGTCGTCGGCGCGCCCTTGCTGTACTGGCGGCGGTACCACTTACCGTAGCCGAGAAGGTAGTACAGACGGAAGCACAGAAACGCGAACCGGTCATTCTCGAGATCCTCGGGGTAGTCGGCGCCCAGGTCCACGGCGGCCGCGAGACCCGAGATAATGGCGACCTCGTGGGCGTTGACGAGCGTCCACGAACCGCCGAAGCGCACGCTGTTTCGCGCCTGCAGGAACATGATCCAGGGCACGACGAGCAGGTAGTGCGTGTAGCTGTGGCACAGCTGGTGCCACCAGTCCTTGCGGATGATCTTGTCCTCGGCAATCTCATTGTCCGACCACAGCTCGCTGTCGCGGTCCTTGTTGAGGTAGATGGTCTGGAAAACGTGCTGCTCAAACGGCACCTTCTCCGGAAACTGCGACTGGTAGTTTGTCGTGTCGAAGCACATTTCGAGCTTCTGTCGGTCCTGGTCGTACATCTTGATGTAGTACATTGGTCGGAAGCTCGTCTTCGCCTCCTCGAGCCGTCCCGACTGGTCGACGCCATTGGTATCCCGGATGGCGAGGTCGTCGCGGTAAAAGTTCTCATAGTGCTTCTTCATGTAGTCCGAGTCGTTGTGCGTGATGGTGATATCGTCGCTGAACTTGGCCGACCCCAGCACCTTGCGCTCGCGCCACGACGCCGTCTTGCCGAGCACACGCTTGGCCGTGTCCGCCAACGTGCACAGCACCAGCTCGTCGAAGAACTCGTCCTGCGGCGGAATGTCCTGGTCGGCGCCGGCGGGGTTATGCGAGTCCTCGGCCGGTCGCCTTGCGCGCAGACGCACCGTGACGCCCTTCTTGCTGCGCTCGACAACTTCGTCCAGCTCGGTCGACAGGCGGACCGTCACGCCGCGCGACTCGAGATCCTGCTTCCACGTGCTGTAAAACTCGGAAAAGTTGGGGAACACAACCATCGGCGGCTTATTGTCGACAACCGTATTCTCGTTGGCCGGGTACCACATGCCATAGGTGGGAGACGTGCACAGCCGCTCGAGCATGACGGCCGGGACCTCGGGCGTCGCGTTTCCAGTGCCGAGAAAGAGCGCAGTCATGGGCAGAGCGACGATATTGATGAAATCCTCGGAGAAGAAGAACATCTTGAGGACGAGCCGCAGAGGCAGCAAGGCGAAGAAGACCTCAAACCAACGCATAAACTTCAAAACCTTGGCGAAGCGCTGGACCTCACTCTGGTGTTCGGCCAACACCTTGGTCGGGAAGACATTAGTCCAAAACGTCTCGTCCTTGCCAAAGGACACGTGCAGGTTGACAGGGTCAGCCTGGTAGCCCTGGCGATTAAACATGGTGAACGTGTGATGAAAGATGTAAGAGCCGCCCTGGACGCCCTGGTTGCACCACGAGGCGCCGTACCGTTCCTTGTCCAAAGGGATCGAGAAGGCCTGGCCGCCGCAGTAATCCACGGCATCGATAAGCGTCACGTCGAACCTGTCACGGTGCTGCGACAGGTGATGAGCCGCCGACATGCTGTCACACGTTAGCTACCGTTCATGTTCACCTCTGCCCGTCGTCTCACCCTGCAGCGCCTGCTCCGACGATGAGCACCCGCTTCTTGACCGACTGCGATGCTGGCTCGCCATGCTGTCCACTGATTCCATTTGGTGCCATAATGTCCGATTGTGCTTTTCTGTTCAGTAAGAGTCGGAAAACGTGACGAAGATGGCTTGACTGGTCGGCCACGGCTTCAATGTTGACCGGGAGTTGCGACTTGAAGTGTTGGTTTGGGTTATGGCGGTCATGTCATGACGGGTACATGGAATTCAACGACGTCATTGACTCAGTAGTGGTAGACACATGAACCCAAAACCTCATGAACAATGCTGCTGTGCCTGGCGCCGTCCAGGATCCCCTGGTCTCGACCTAACAGCCTGGTGCTAGTTATTCGACAGACCACTAGTGTACATTGAGAAACTCGTTTGACAGAATCCATCTCGATTGCCGTCTGCACCCCTACTGTCGTGGTCATGGACGAGATTCTCTGATAGGTCTCTGGGTGATGAGAATCGACATTTCACTCATATACACTAGTCGTCAGATCAATGAGGGGTCCTACCATTTCGAATCCCTACCAACCATCAATCATGGCAAGCATCAATCATGGCACACTTGTACGGCCAACATGCCCACCGGGTCTTCTTCATGTGGCCTGTCAACGCAGACTACTGCACCTGCGAGACCGGTCCAGGCGTGCGCTCACAGACACTGCGAGTACCACTGGTTCTGGGCGCGGCACGTCCCTTGGCTGCAGCATGTGCTACCCGTCTAGCCTTGTCCGTCGCACTGGCCGTACAGGGGAGAGCACTGCGTAAGCAACATGGTCAGCTCTTCTCCCTTTCTCCTTCAATAGACGTCACGACGCCCATCAGGTGTACTTACGTTGCCAGATGGGGGTGGCGTCGTCGGGGGCGTCGTGAGAGGGGTTCCGCTGCTGCTACCCCATGCAGTGAGAATGGCATTGTAGGCCGGCTTCTTCTGATAGCTTGCGTCCCAAATGAGCGGGTTGCCGCCGCCGATCCAGGTGTGCGCGTCGGTGAAACCCCAACCCGTGATGCCGACGCAGCGCGCGACAGCGAGGCAGGCTTGAACAACAGTGGCCCAATCTGTGGCCTGCTTTTGGAACTGGCTTGAGCCGCTGCGGGCTACCATGTCCTAAAGTGCACGATTGTCTCAGCAGTTTGGTCTTTTCATGGGCTCGAAATCGCTCGAAGGCAAGTCCTTGCTGTCGGTACATGGAATAATACTGACAAGTTCCGTGTACGCAACGTCAACGTTCAAATTAGCAAATGCCCAGAGATTCTCAGTCAGAGTAGCAAGCGATCCAATCTGCCCAGTGGTCATGTGGCCCTGCAGTCCCATGCCGTCAATGGGTGCACCAGCATCCCGGACCATGCGGATGAGGTTCTGCGCGCCGGTTACCTTGCGACCTGGGCGGTCACAGATGTAGTCGTTGTAATACAGCTTTGCGTTGGGATCCGCGGCCCTGACTGCCTTGAACGCCAGCGGGATGTAGTCGACTCCGATAGTGCGGTACCAAACCGAGTCAGTGGTGCGGTATGTGCCATCTTCGTTAAGGGCTTCATTGACGACATCCCAAGCGTAGCAGGCTCCTGGTTCACCCGTCAGATATTGAATAACCCACGCTGTTATGTATCCGATCTCGAATTACCCTTGAAGTGCGTCACCACGTTGCGGATGTGCGTCTCCAAGATACTGATCATGGTCGTGCGGTCAAAATTGCCGTTGCTGACCTAGGAGGGCACCTGCGAATGCCAGATGAGCGCGTGACAACGCATGTTCATGCCGTTCGCCTTGGCCTGCGCAACAATACGATCTGCGTTGCCGTAATTGAAAGTGCCACGAGACGGCTGCAGGGCATCGAACTTCATCTCATTCTCACAAGTGTATGACCCGAAATCCTAGCCGTTGCTGGCGATGGGGTTGGCGCGGCTGTCGCTCATGACCGACGGGTTGATGGCCGTGCCCCAGTAGCGGCCGCGTGCTTTGGCTCTAGCATTGAGACCGTCAGATGAGACTAGACTGGACGCACCCAAAGCAAGCTGGAGGGAAATCGTGATGTTGACCATGCTGACTAGAGTTTCCAATGAAAGGGTAGTCAGAATAGTCAGTCTACGGGCGAATTTGACAAACACAGGTGCCGCGAGCAAGCTCTCAACGACAAAAATCGTCATAAGGAGACTCTCACATTACTGGGGTACTCAATAGTAAACGTTTATTTCCATGCTCATCTTAACACCTCTTGAATATTTCCTTGTTAAGAAAACGGAGTTGGTGCTGCCGGTGGTGCTTGTATCCGCTGGCAGATTAATGTCCGAATAATACTTCTCCATACCAGATTGCAGGAAGTATGCCGCGATCTGGGCCTTGCCACTTGATAGAGCATGTATTCTCGATGATTGGCACGCTTGTAGATGTTTGTCAACATGCTCATTATTTATCAGGCGTGACCTACGCACCTGCAGAAAAAGATGGCATTGGCCGATTCAAGTACGGTTACATGGTGCCCTACATCCATCATGGAATCGTATCCGCCATATTTTAATACAACGAGTCAGTTCGCTGACCTAGGAATTCCAACAGCCACTTCCGTATCTCCCCAAGTGGTATACCCATAAGTGAGTGGCGGCTCTGGGTCGATGTCCAGTCTGTCGGAAACCCTGCCTTGATAATTTCGCGTGCGTCCCATGAGACGTTCTTGTTGGATAGACAACAGAGTACTGAGTCAAACTTCTCAAAGGGATCGCAACATGGGTCCCATCATTTACAAAGGCCAATCTGGCTCTGTTGAAGTGAGAAGCGAGAACCATCGTGGCCCAGATCTGTAACCTAAGCGACCATCAACGAGCCGCTCAGAAGTAAATGATACATTGCTGCCACCAAGTCCCTGAATGATCGAGCTTCATCGTCCTATGCGTCGGTGAATGCATTGAACATACAATCTTGACGGAAAATCCAATTACATGTGCAGTACGTGACATCTGGAAATCTAGGAGTGCCGTTACTGAGCACAATTGTTAGGCACATGAGCTCTCCCCTATGCATACATGAAGAATACCGAGACCCGAGTATCCGCTCTTGAAGCCAGTCATTTGAATCCAGCTTGTGCACATGATAGAGCGGATACCACTCCGTGTACCAGATTTGGCCGTATGATGATGTTGAGAGTCATTAAACTGACTAAGTCTCCTTATTCTTCAAATCCCCCAACTCCAAGAAACACACCGTGTATTCCCCGAATTCTTCATGCAAGAGACCCGGGGCACATACTGCAGGTGTGGTCACATCAATGGGACACTTGTGGTTGTTGCGACCTAAGTCCTTCGCACACCAATACCGGCTCCTTCAACCCGACCAAATCGTGCTTGCGCTGGTCCTAAAATGCTCGGGCGGAGGAACAAATCGGAGTCTCACGCACCGTTGGCCCATCCTGGGTGATTTCTGTGGAACTTCCACGTGTAGTTACTTGTCTGTTCCGTTGATCACGTCGAGAGATCACGAACTGCAGATTTAGACCCATGGCCCTCCCTGGCCAGCCGAACAAACTACAAATATTAGCGCGGTGCTAGCCATGGCACCAGATTGATCGACATTTCTCGAGTACTGAACCAAACTTCAATTACCTTGATATCACAATGAAGCTGTGTCATTTTGTGTTCGCCGCCCTGACTTGGGTGACTGTTGCGGTGCCCGCATCACTGGAGAGTCGCCAGAATGGACAACTAATTAAGCGACTACTTGATGGTTTATGTGAGTTCACTGGACGCAATGCCGCCAAGACGTCTCGAATGTGCACAACTGACACCAACAGTTCACTAGAGAGGGAACTGCCAACGGCGAACAAATTTACATGGCCGTATCGAACAATAACAACCCAGGTTCCTGGACCACTGTAAACAATGGCCAGCCTGTGCTGAGCTCCACTGTCGGGATGAAGGGTGTGCGTGATCCCAGTATCATTCGCAGCCAAGACGGCAAGAAATATTGGATTATCGCCACGGACCTCCGAGTATACCCTCGGGGCTGGGATGTAGGTGATGACTACACCTCCAATGGGTCCAAAGGTCTTGTCGTGTGGGAGTCGAGCAACTTGAGAACTTGGTCAGCTTCCCAACTGAGGATTGTGAGTCCAAGCAACGCTGGCATGACCTGGGCCCTAGATGCCATATGGGATCCTGCAACCAGCCGCTGTACGTTATCACCTCGAATCAGAGTGTCTTAGAGTTACTAATGCGGGTCCTCGCTCTCTAGACCTCGTCCACTGGACGTGCAATCTTAAGGCTCATCATAATTCTCTTGCATTACAATGACTGCTAACATCCATTCAGGGGGAAGGTTTGTTCATCATGCGCTCTTTTACCACTGACTTTGTCAGCTTCACCCTGCCGAGAAGTGGCTCACGGGCGCCGGCATGGACGCCACCGTCTTCCGCGACCCATCGTCGTCCATATTCTACCGCTTCAGCAAAGAACGGACCGAACAACCTCGTAGAGCAAGCTCGCGCAAGCACCCTGAACGGACCCTGGACCGTCATTCGTAACGAGATTGGTCAGGGCCTACCCGCTGGCGAAGGACCTTTGGTGTTCCGTGACAACATCACGCCGAGCAAGTGGCATATGCTGATCGACGACTACACTCGCGGCCGTGGATACCAGCCCTTCGAAACCAGCAACATTGCCACTGCCAACTGGTCACCTGCAAGTTTGACCTTGCCACGCAGTGCTCGCCACTGTTACGTTATTGGAATGTGAGTCGCTTCTGGACCCGAGGAGGTCTCCTGGTGCATGCTGCATGGGGTGGGCATGGCTGACTTACTCGATTCAGAACTGCGGCCGAGAGAAACTGCATTGTGGGAACTGGCACCTGCACTGCTGGGTCTGGCACTCCTTCGCCCCCAACAACTCCATCTCCCCCGGCGAGCCCCCCTCCTAGCGGTAGCGGAAGCTGTGCTGCTGCTTGGGCGCAATGTGGCGGGCAAGGTTGGACTGGCGCAACTTGCTGTCAGTCAGGGACTACCTGCAAGGCGCAAAACCAATGGTACTCGCAATGCACTTGATTTATGAATCATTGTAGTCGGATCTCACCGTCCTTAGAACATAGAAGCTGAAGTTTATTGGGCAATTATGGGCTGAAATGTGGAATCCGACTTCATGTTGAAGAGAAAACAATGCACAGCAACCTCCGTGCTAAGTCCCCGGAACACGGCGGGGAGATTACGACCGCAGGATTTATTCGGACCACAGGGTCTCACGCTCGTAGTCTATCGAAACAAACCAAACGTTAATGTTATTCGGGACCTACTATGGCTCCACCCATGCAAGCAAAATTTAAGCTCTTGGGAGACTAACACGAGAGCGCAGCTTTTTACCAAACTTACCTGTGCAATGGGCTGTAACCCGATGTCCAGTGAGTACCTTAGTCCACGGTGATTGGCGCCTGTTATGTTGTACTCGATGTGGCGCTACGTATGCTGTAAAGCTTGGTATGTGAAGTTCACTCATGCAGAGAAGAGACCCGGAAAACAATCGTCTCGTTCTTCATGCAGCAGGGATCAATGCAACGTTGGTGTTGCATTGTACGGTGAGCCGAGCTTCGGTTCACATGAGATCTGACTTGCCAACCATGTGTCTCTGATGATAATGCGGACCCCGTCGGCCGTGGAGGACGGCAGATTCCCAAAGTAGAACTGAAAAATCTGTACAGGCATTTACTGACAAAGAAGACCAAAAAAAAACAGACGCAGGTGAGTCAGTGCACCCTGGCTCGCATGCACCTAACTCATACCCACTGATGATGACTCGTTTCTGACTGCGAAGCAGCCAGGCCTGCATTGCGAACAGCATACCAATGTGGACGGGGGGGTTAGCACGTAGATCGTCAGCAGGAGGTGGTGACCACCGACAGCGGAGCTTCGCCATTCAATAAGACAAGCCAGCGTCTCCAGCCCGCTAGGGCAAATTTGGCCTGTCAAGGAATATAGCATACATGAAAGTTACACGGGTTAGAAGCAACACCACCATGCTCAAAGCCTGACCTTCACAGCGATCCAGAACAAGAAATCCGAGCTAACGCGCAGTGCGAGATGACTCGGGTTTACTTCAAGATGCTGGTGGACCTGGTTCTAGTCTCAGCCACTCATAAATCACTATGAACATTGCCAAGCCGGATAACAGGTCACGATAGCGTCAGAAAATACCTGATAGCGAGTGATCGGGATAACGCGGACGGAGGCCGGCATGTTCTTCTAGAAGGCGGGGCGCAACAAGTGGAGGAAATACCTCAACAGGCAAGCGATGCTACCGCTGTCGGAGCAGTGTGGGTCTGTTGGCCGGCTTGGTAGCTCTCAGTTGGAGCGCTGCGGCGATTGAGGTGCATGGAAGGGGTCAAATGGCTGCCGTTGGCGCGTGATGGTGGCTGAGATTAAAGTTATCAGATCCGGAAGCTGTGGGTCGTCCAAGCGACGTGCCGTTATCTGATCCGGCTTGGCAACTGAACATGACGATCTGTGGGTTTTGAACAGTCATGTCCCGAGTTATCATTGGACTGTTGGACCAAAAGCTCCAGATCTAGTGGGCTAGGCGCTCACAAGTGGTGCCACAACAACATACCCTACCCTACCGTTGCAGGATGTTGCTCCGTTGCGAGCTTGACCCGCAAGTCCACAGCTCGCACATGTACACAACCGCAGGATTCAAGCCGAGGGTGGGCTCCAATGTGACAGACTGTCCAAGGGGGGAACACGAGCTTTGGGCAGTGATCGACCAGCCCAGGCTCTGTTTTGCGCCGTTCCCGTGCGTCCTGGCAATGCAACTTCAAGGACGTGCAAAGGTCGTACGAACTCCGGTCTCCGACCCTTGTGGCAACCGAGGGGATCTGCAAGTGCCTTGCACTTATAAGACATGAGACAGTCCCTCGTGGTCTTGCGACCCTGATTCTGACGATCGCTGACTGCTGTGTTCTGCGCTGAACCCCCGACGAAATCTTCAGGACAGGGAAAATACCACAAACGACGCCCAGAATGTCTGCCAGACCCGAGGAAGATATGGCTGGTCAGCCAGGGCCTGCCCTCGGCCATGCCATGAGCCACACTGGCGCCGACGAGAAGGCTGCCGCCAAGGATTCCGCTGTCGTTGCGGATGACAGGTCTGGTGACGAAAAGCAAGACAAGCCCAAGGATGAAGAATCGGACGTTGAATACGATACAAAGGAGAAGCAGTATGGTGTTGAGAAGATTCGTGCTATTACTTCGGCATGGTCTTACAAGGCCCTCGTCGTCATGTACATCATGTGGGTCATCCTTTCTTCACTTCTAATCAATGTTTGCGTCCAAGTACTGACAGGCTACAGCATCTACATCACCTCGTACACCCACTCGATGCAGCAGCAGCTTTCTCGGAACCTCACTCCATACGTCACGTCCGAATTTCAGCGCCATGGATTGACGGCCACAACTGGCATCGTATCTGGTCTGATGTACGGCGTGACGCAGTTGCCCTTGGCCAAGATTTTGAACATCTTCGGAAGAATGGAGGGCTACCTCCTGTGCCACATTCTATGTTCAGTCGGTCTGATCATGATGGCCCTCTGCCGCAACGTCGAGACATATGCCGCTGCCCAGGTCTTTTGGACAGTTGGAAGTGGTGGTATCGGATACATCCACACCGTCCTCATCTCCGACTTTACGTCCCTACGCAACCGCATGATCATCTTTGCCCTCAACTCCACGGCATACATTGGCAATGCATTTGCCGGTCCCATCGTGGCCGAGCTTTTCTACGAACACAGCACGTTCCGCTGGGCTTTCGGATCCTTTGCCATCATCTTCCCCTTCTTCGGTGCCTTGATCTGCATCATGCTGTGGTACAACCTCAACCAAGCCAAGAAGCAGGGTATTGAGCTCGTCTCTCCCGTGAGCGTTCGTACGTGGAAGGAGTCGTGCCGGTACTACTTTGAGGAGTTCGACGTCATCGGCATGCTCCTTTTGGTCACCGGGTTCTCTCTCTTCTTGCTACCCTTCAGTTTGGTGTCCTACGCACCGAACGGCTGGAAGACGGGCTACATTATTGCCATGATCATTTTGGGTCCTCTTCTGCTTGCGACCTTTGGCTTCTGGGAGAAGAAGTACGCTTCGGTGCCGCTCGTCCCGTGGGTCAACCTGAAGGATCGCACCATCATCGGAGCCTGCGGTGTCGCCGGTGCCCTGTTCCTCAGCTTCAACGCTTGGGATTCGTTCTTCTCGTCGTACCTGCAGGTTGTTCACCAGCGCAGCATCAGCCAGGCTGGATTCATCCTGAACATTTACACCATTGCCTCCTGCACTTGGGGTCCTATTGTCGGAGTGTACGCCGCGCCTCGCCTCTTTCATATTCTCTGTCATCTTGCTGATACTTCACAGTCTCATCCGCCAGACCAACCACTACAAGTGGATTGCCGTTGCTGCGGTGCCCGTCGCCGCGCTCGCGACCGGCCTCCTGATCCATTTCCGCCAGCCCGATTCCTACATCGGCTACATCATCATGTGCCAGATCCTCAAGTCCGTCTCGGCCGGCACCATCATCATCTGCGAGCAGCTCGCCGTCATGTCCGTCGTCTCGCATAACGAAGTCACCGTCATGCTCGCTCTCATCGGCCTCGCCTCCTCGGTCGGCCGCGCCGTCGGCTCTGCCATCTCGGGCGGTATCTGGACCAACCAGATGCCCGGCAAGATCGAGCACTACCTTCCTGAGAGCGCAAAGGCCAATGCCACTACCATCTACGGCGACCTGCGCGTCCAGCTCAGCTACGAGTGGGGCTCGGAGATCCGAGAGGCCATTGTCACTGCGTATGGCGACGTCCAGAGGAACATGGTCATTGCTGGCGCGGCGCTCATGCCCATCGCGTTTGCGTGCGTTCTTCTCTGGAGGAACGTCAATGTTGCCAAGTTCAAGCAGACGGAGGGCAAGATCTTCTAAGGGACGCTGGTCTTTTGAGAATCGACTTTCTGTAATCCACGTTCGTAAGTGCTTGAGGTTGGGGTCGACGATTTCTCGTTGGCCGGATTTCTAGCAGATGGAGTGTCTGTGTCCTCCCAGAGTAGAGCGCCAAGATAGTAGGAAGCCTCGGCGGTTTACGTCGGCCTCGAACCTGACTGACGTTGCCTCATGCTCTTCTCGTTAACAAGTGTCTTCGTGATACGTTCACGACTAGGCCTTCCCAGAAATAGCTTGGATTTCAATGCCGATATGTTGATATATCGAGGAGTCGCTTCACTCACATCGCGGTCACCAGTGTATACCTAACTAAAGTCAACCCCGGGCATAATCACAGACCAAGTCTTGTTCACCTCTCATGATCGTGATTGAATGGCAACGTCCAACGAGCAGCCTGTAGTGGAGCCACGAATCTTCTGCCCAGTCAAACAGGCGCCCAGTCATCGGGCAGAATTTGACGACAGGCAACGAGTCGGTCCCCTGCTCTGAGCAAATCAGCAGCACCAGTGAGCCAGCGTGGGAGGATTTGTGCATCTCCCGCTTCATTGCCTCGCTTCCTGGTTGCTGGGTCGCGCAAGCCAGCCCAGCGAGCGGCTCGCTTACCAGGGCGGCCATCACATGCAATGATGGATCGAAAATCCCAAGCTCGATCGATGGCAGCTGGGGACATCCACCACACTTTATCTTCCCCGAGTGACGATCTCAGGCATGGTGCAGCGGCGACCAGCAGCAGGGAAGCTGGCGGCTGGAGGCTTGTCAATCATGACAGCGTCACAGGGCCGCCGGGGTCAACGGGCGAGTGACGTGACCAGTGACGTCCCAACGGGCCCTAATTGGCCTGGGGCAGCCACTTGCCACACGCTTGTGCACCATCGTGCACCACGAGTGTGGCTGAACCTTGGCACATCCAACTTCTCTGTCAGGCTCGACGAGCAAGGCCTCGCCTTGCTCCTTTTGGGAGCATCCAAATCCCTCGCCGTATATCATCCTTGTTATCCTCTGTGCATCTCGGCATTTCTGTTTCTTCAATACTACCCTAAGCATCTCGGCATTGGCATTATACACCTGATTGTTATTGTCTTTCTTG